TTTGCCACCAGTCAACAGCCTGCGAAAATTTACCCCGCTTCTTTTCTTCTCTTCTCTTCAATTATCTCTCTCTCTCATTGTGCAAACACGTTGTAAATAAGAGATAATTGATTATTACGGGAGTTTTGGCACGAGTCCAGAACTCAGTCAGTGATAAACACTGTTTGATTGACAGTTCCAGTGCGCACTGTTTGATTGACAGCTGTAAATTGAGTGTTCTTTGATCACTTTCCATGTATAATTCAATCAGTTTAAATAAACAGATTATTTACACCCTATCATGAGAAACAATGTGAAGTTGACTGTTTAGTCACTGGTTTGATTTACTGACAGGATAAAGAACATGGAGCAAACAACGTTGGCACAACGTACCCAACCTTCTAACAATGTTTAAACAACCTGGCCAAAAGGTTTCTATAACTACGTTGTGTGGTGAAGGTTGTTACAGCGTTGTCACATTGTTGACATTGAACCACCTTTCAGGGCCATTGCTTAAGGTTGTGCCTAAGACAATCACTGGACGACATATGTACTCGTCACTGCCATGAAGCACGAAAATCAGCCTTTTAAATTTCAACCGACCGCTGGGCCGTCTCATTCTTCATCGAGCAAGGAGAGTGTTTAATTTAATTTAATTTACCTCAGCTAAATAAGATAGTAATTATTCAAACACAACCTACAGCTTAATGTGACATTTATTTGTTCAGTCTAAGGGACAGAATAACATTAGCTGATAATTCATGGAGTTTGCAATCTTGTGTAAATTATATAGTAACTTACTAGTGTGCTAACGTTAGCTATATTTCTTTTAATATTCAGTTATCCTTTAATCCTTACCGTTAGGAAAAGTGTTGAACATCTTCTGGTCAGGGATGACAAATATTTTAACTTTATGCCAAAAGGTATAAGCCATAATGAAGCCAAAATGACTTTAATGATGAGTAATTGACATTTCAGCACTCCTTGAACAGACAGCGACTTAAGCGTGTACTTGTTGCACGTTTTTTTTCACCTGTTTAGTTTAGTCAGCTATTTAGTCTCATTCGTTTCTTTGCTCCTCTGGATTTGTTAATGTTTCCTGGACTGATTATTACGCTCCCGTCTGCCATGTATACAGAACCCGGTTTTGTTCATGAAATGATCTGCCTTTGCTTTTTATGTTTTATATATTATATTTTATATTCGTTTATTTAGTTTTTTCTTTTTTCACAAATGTATGACTTTTGGCAGTGCAATTTGATTACAATATGCAGTTTTAATAAAGTTGAATTAATGTAAGTTAACCTTCTGTCATTTTTACAAGTGTACACTTGCAGGTGTTGATTATAATTAATTTACTGTTAGGCCCATTAAATAATAATAAGGATAAACAATATTTTAAAAGTATATAATTATCTAACTAATTATTCAGCCCGAAGGAGCGACGTGGGGCAACCCGATCAACAACCCGATCCCTGGACACGAAAACTAGCTTTAGGGATGTGAAACGTCACCTCGCTGGCGGGGAAGGAGCCTGAGATTGTTGAGAGGTACCGAGAGATAGTCGGGATCACTTCCACGCACGGCTTGGGCTCTGGAACCACACTCCTTGAGAGAGGATGGACTCTTTACCATTCTGGAGTTGCCCATGGTGAGAGGCGGGGGGCTGGTGTGGGTTTGCTTATGGCCCCCCAGCTCAGCCGCTATATGTTGGAGTTCACCCTGGCGAACGAGAGGGTCGCTTCCCTGCGCCTTCGGGTCGGGGATAGGTCTCTCACTGTCGTTTGTGCCTACGGGCCGAACGGCAGTGCAGAGTACCCAGCCTTCTTGGAGTCTCTGGGAGGGGTGCTGGAAAGTGCTCGGAGTGGGGACTCCATCGTTCTACTGGGGGACTTCAGCGTCCACGTGGGCAGCGACAGTGACACCTGGAGGGGCGTGATTGGGAGGAATGGCCCTCCTGATCTGAACCCAAGCGGTGTTCTGCTATTGGACTTCTGTGCTAGTTACAGCTTGTCCATAACGAACACCATGTTCAAGCATAAGGGTGTCCATCAGTGCACGTGGCACCAGGACAACCTAGGCCGGAGGTCGATAATCGACTTTGTGGTTGTTTCATCCGACCAACGGCCGTTTTTCTTAGACACTCGGGTGAAGAGAGGTGCGGAGCTGTCAACTGATCACCACCTGGTGGTGAGTTGGATCCGATGGCGGGGCAGGAAGCTGGACAGACTCGGCAGACCCAAACGTACTGTGAGGGTCTGTTGGGAACGTTTGGCCGAGTCCCCTGTCAAAGAGATCTTTGACCGGATCCCGAGGAAGTCTGGAGATATTGAGTCCGAGTGGACCATGTTCTCCACCTCCATTGTTGACGAAGCCGCTTGGAGCTGTGGCCGTAAGGTCTCGGGTGTCTGTCGAGGTGGCAATCCCCGAACCCGGTGGTGGAGACCGGAAGTAAGGGATGCCATCAAGCTGAAGAAGGAGTCCTATCGGGCCTGGGTGGCTTGTGGGACTCAGCGGAGGAACAGTGCGGTTTTCGTCACGGTCGTGGAACACTGGACCAGCTCTATACCCTCTCCAGGGTGCTGGAGGGTTCATGGGAGTTTGCCCAACCAATCCACATGTGCTTTGTGGATTTGGAGAAGGCATTCGACTGTGTCCCTCGCGGCGTCCTGTGGAGGGTGCTCTGGGAGTATGGGGTCCGGTCCCTGTACGACCGGAGCAGGAGCTTGGTTCGCATTGCCGGCAGTAAGTCAGACTTGTTCCCGGTGCATGTTGGACTCTGGCAGGGCTGCCCTTTGTCACTGGTTCTGTTCATAATTTTTATGGACAGAATTTCTAGGCGCAGCCAGGGGCCGGAGGGTGTCCGGTTTGGGGACCACACGATTTCGTCTCTGCTTTTTGCGGATGATGTTGTCGTGCTGGCCCCATCAGACCAGGACCTTCAGCATGCACTGAGGCGGTTTTCAGCCGAGTGTGAAGCGGCTGGGATGAGAATTAGCACCTCCAAATCTGAGGCCATGGTTCTCAGTCAGAAAAGGGTGGCTGTAACAAGGTTCGTTGTTTGGGAAGAAGGAGGCGGGAACCGGCGAACGTTCAACAATTTTAATAATAAATAAACAAATACAAAAACGAAAGTAAAGACGGCAGTCCCTCACGGTCATAAAATCAACACAACATAAAATCAGGCCTGTTCCTCTCTCGCTCTGCACTGTCGTCGCTCCTCCTTTATGCTTCCGCTCCTCCGTGAGAGATACGAGACCGGTGCATCGCGCAGGTGTCGCTCATTATCAATCACGCCACCGGCCTCGCGTCGTTCTCTCACGTCCCTTGACCTCGTCCTGCTCACCACAGTGGCTTGCCCACTTTAGGTTGGTGGAGAGTTCCTGCCTCAAGTGGAGGAATTCAAGTATCTTGGGGTCTTGTTCACGAGTAAGGGAAGGATGCAACGGGAGATTGACAGACGGATCGGTGCAGCTTCTGCAGTAATGCGGTCGATGTCCCGGTCTGTCGTGGTGAAGAAGGAGCTGAGCTGCAAGGCAAAGCTCTCAATTTACCGGTCAATCTACGTTCCTACTCTCACCTATGGTCATGAGCTGTGGGTCATGACCTAAAAGACAAGATCCCGGATACAGGTGGCCGAAATGAGCTTTTTCCACAGGGTGGCTGGGCGATCCCTTAGAGATAGGGTGAGGAGCTCAGATCACTCGGGAGGAGCTCAGAGTAGAGCCGCTGCTCCTCCACATCGAGAGGGGCCAGCTGAGGTGGCTCGGGCATCTGTTCCGGATGCCTCCTGGTAGTAAATAAGTAGCTTCCCGGCTGGAGGGACTATGGAGGAAGTGTCTGGGGAGAGGGAAGTCTGGGAATCTCTGCTTAGACTGCTCCCCCCGCGACCCGGCCCCGGTGGACAAGCGGAAGATGATGATGATAATTATCTGACAAATTAAAAATTAACCTCAAAACATAACATGCTAAATGGGGGATATCTATGTCTAGCATAAAAATATTGTCAGAACGTTGTCTCGCAGTTCCTGAATGTCACGCAACAATGTTGCTACAGCCCTGTCGCATCTTATACGTTGTTACAATGTTGCGAGCACGTAGACAGCTACATTGCCATAGTAGAAATGCAACGTGCCACAGACGTTGCCTCAACGTAAATGTGTTTGCTGGGATCTGACAGTAGCTACATGAATCACATCAGAAATCACTGGTCACAGACCAGGCATTAGAATGAGCAGGGTTACTTACTTATGTTGTGGCAATACTGTCTATTCTATATCGTAAAAGCCTGCAAAGTCTGCACAGAGTTTGCGGACTGATTTACCAAAGAATCCAGTGAAATGTACTGAATACGAATAAATAATGTTCAACTGAGACATTCACATTGTAGAAAATAAGCAACCACATTCCCAGCATTAGGAATAGATCCTTTGGAAGGTAATGTTATTTTTATTCCAGTGAGTGACCCTGTGCTCTTCTCTCTTCCTCATCTCACTAACGCTAGTGGTAACAATAAAAGCTGATTTTGGACTAACAAGGAAGTTTTCAGTTCTGAAACTTTCAGGATATTCTTATAATATGATTACCTCTTATATGTCAAAACCTCAAGGAAAACTGTATTTCTCATTTCATGACCCCTTTAAATAAGATAAAATGTAAATTACTTGACTGTGAATTATGAATGTATAGTTCTTAATAACGAACTGATGTTTTTAGCTGGTCAGGTCTTCACTATAATGTAAATACATTATGTTCCTTACAAAGTCAAACACTTTTTATACTATTTTAAAAACCATTTAGACTTAAGGTTTAAAATGAAAATAGTGAGTTTTGTTACTATGGTTGTTTAGCTCTTTTGTTTATATAAAGCTTAAAACTTTTAAACCGAGAGGTAACCTGCCAAACAGGTTTTCTTTGCACAGGGCATACCTGTACTGAAAAGTCAAACATTTGTTTCTGTATAAAAAAAAACTTTACTCACACAACTAAACACTTGAAAACCAGCGGTCCATTTTTTTATATTTAAAGCTACCAGCTCAAAGCCACTAGACATTAATTTCAAAAAACATAAAAAAAAATATACAAAACAATAAAAAGCTAATGTAACAAATCAATAACAAGCCTGTTTGTTTGTGCATTATTAACAATAGCCATTATTTTGTAGGCACCGAAAGCTAAATATTTAGCCTGCCACCATGCACACAGTGTGGTGAACACATATGTAATAAAATGTATCCTCTTATGCACCAGTTCATCGAGCTTCACCCACCCCTGTAAAAACACTCATATTATAGGCTATGTGTGGAAGAGACAACCAATCTGGTTCTAATCCCCTGTCTTGAGCTGGAACCCCATCATGTCTGATGATCCTTATGTGGGTAAGTAAATATTGACCCCTTCTAAATCATAAATAGGTCTCTCTCTCTCTCTCTCTCTCTCTCTCTCTCTCTCTCTCTCTCTCTCTCTCTCTCTCTCTCTCTCTCTCTCTCTCTCTCTCTCTCTCTCTCTCTCTCTCTCTCTCTCTCTCTCTCTCTCTCTCTCTCTCTCTCTCTCTCTCTCTCTCTCTCTCTCTCTCTGTGTGTGTGTGTGTGTTTTTGAGAGAGAGGCTACGTCTACACTAATCCGGATACATTTGAAAACAGATCTTTTTGAAAATTGTTGGTTGTCCATTTTGTAACCATTTTATATTCAGGTATGTAATGCAATACCTTCTTTAAGGTAATGTCAATGTGTTGGCACCACTGCAAGTGTATCCGCAGGTGTGTGCAAACAAACATGCATATTGTATGCTTGTGTTTCTGTCTGTCAATTTCTGCCTTTTCAGACTTCACACTATAAATCAAGACAAAAGCTTGCATTCTCCCTAATGTCTGAACCCAAACTGTCTAATGTGTTTATCATGTCTTTGATCTCCCTATAGTCCTGCCAGCAAGCACCACTATAGCCAGTCACAACACAAGAAGGCTTCTGATGATAAGATTCCATGGTATGTGGCATTAACTGTTTGCAAAGGCAGCTCTCACTCGGTTCTTCTGCACATCAATTTGGTCTCTGTGAAGATAAGAATTACACTTTGATTACTTGGAAATAATGGAGGCTGAATACAGAAGTTGCTAAAGCTGAATGCAAGATGCTGTAATAAACTAAAGGAATTAAGGAAGGGAAAATGTACGCAAAAATGAAAATTATGTCATTATTTACCCATATGTTATTGCAAACCAGTATGACTTACATTTATTTATGTGAATTTGTGTGAAACAAAACAATTCTGAAGAAAGTTTTATGCCCCTAAAATAAAAATCAGTGGGATACAAAACCACATTGGACCCCAGTTTTCTTTTATTGCATGGACAAATTTTATTTTAATATCTTATTTTGTGTGGGTGTATTTTCTTATTTGGTCATTTTTGGGTGATCTATCCCTTTAAGTGACAAACAGAGATTATACATTTGAAGTGGATCAAAAACCTTTCAGAAGTTACACATGAATTTTGAACAATACCCGTTCTTGTCTTAGGACAACTTTTTTGATCCACTTCAAATGTTGCCTACTGTAGTTGTGTATGTGAGAAGTTGTGCTGGATGTATTCATTGTCTAGTTGGATATACTTAACAGTTAGCATTAGTCACCTTATCTTTATGGCTCCTCTGGTGAGCCCTGAACTGCTCTGGGTTTGTGAACATCTGTTGGCAGAATGGGCAGACTGACTCTGGGAGGGTATTCCACGGTACACGTCCGACTGAATCTGGAGAGTTCAATTGTTCTTCCAGGGGATCTGCCTTTGTCCAGTGCTTCTGCTTATCTGTGTATACCATGCTAATAACCGACGGCCTGTCGCTTCTCACCACCGCTGTGTTACTCTGAGATCCAGAACCAAATTCTAACCTGGAACCGCAATCTGATCGCAAACCAGATTCTGGTTTCATAGCACAGGACCTTACGTTACCTTCCTCTAACTTCTGTGGGGCCTCTGAGGTGTAATTGTGTTGAGGCCTCTCCTCCTTGCCTGAGACTGAGGTGTGTGTGTCTCTTGGGAAAGAAAATCCTGTAACTCTACTCTCGTTGTTTCGAACTCCTGCCTCATTCCTCTGGTTCTTCCTCACATTCCCAGGTTGAAAGGGCCTCTTCTGCAATCCAGACACTTCCGGTCTCCCCTCTGCATTAAAGCTGACCAGCCCTGCACTCCAGCTTTCTAATGGAGGCACAGACAGCTGCTGAATGCAGTGGTGGAGAGATGGGTAGTCCACGTATTTAAACTTGGGCACCTTTTCTTTAGGACTGGAGGGCCTACCGTTTGGTGCCTTTGCCAACGAGCAGGATCCCAGCCAACCGTTCAGTGGAGGCACAGAAAGCTGTTGGATGCACTGGTGCAAGGAAGGGAAATCCACATACTGGAAACGAGGCACCTTGCGAGGAACATCACAGAGATCGTCTTTTCTGACACGCATTTGTGTTGAGGTCTCTGGGTCACCCTGCTCCATCCTGACCACTTTATCTTTATCTGCTAAGGCGGAGCACTTGGGATTGCCACCTCCATCTAGAGGCAGGAGCCTCCTGTCCTCCATCCCTCTATCTGCACAATGGTGCTTTTGTCTCCTGTAACCATAAAGAGATATAAATTGTTATGAAGGTCTTATGAAATATAAAAGTGTCCAAATCGGTTGTGTAATATTGGACTATTCCTTGTTAAAGGATTATTCTGCGTTCAATACAAGTTCAGCTGAGTCAACAGCATTTATGGCATAAATGTGCGGGCACTATAGCGAAATTTCAGGGTTAAAAGGTTTCAAAAAAGTTTGTTTTTTAATTGTAGTGATGCATTGCATACACATAAGTCACTTTCAAACCAAGGTTTCTGTTGTCAACCCTGTGAATTAGCACGGGGAACTTTTTTTGCATTCAGGTGAAACTCCTGATTGAATAGATTACTATAATTGACATGACTGGATTTCACCTGTGAAATTCCACAGAGCAATGGTAAATGTGACCACACCTTAATGTTGATTACCACAAACAAATATAAAAAAAAAATCATTTTAAAATGAAGCCTTTACAATAAACGTAACTTCGGCTTAGAATAAAGAATGAAGCTAAAAAAAAAACACGTATTAAAACTTGCTTATTATTTGAACTGTAAAATTGTTCTCAGCATTTTTACAGTCGTTTTAGGGTTGACCGCTGTATTTAACTTTGCAAAAAAGGTTAGTATGTTTTTTTTTTTCACCAAATCATGTTAACATGCATTTTATTTAGCTATGTTTTGTGGCTGTTCTACTGAAACTGAATATAAAAAAAAAAAAAAAAAACTACAGTTGGTACAAAATTCTGCCGAATTCTATCTGGAAACAGGACAAGGGACCACATTACTCCGGTACTGGAATCTTTACACTGGCTCCCTGTCAGATTCCGTGTTGATTTTAAAATCTTAATGCTTACTTATAAGGCCTTGCATGGACTGACACCTCATTATCTAACTGAACTTTTAACACCCTACACACCAGCACGTGATCTCCGCTCTTTGGAAGCTGGCCTTTTAATTGTTCCGCATAATTGCGTTGGCATACCTGACTAAAATCCATGGGTGATAGGGCCTTCTCATCGAATGCTCCAAAACTTTGCAATTCCCTGCCTATTGAGATTAGGCAAGCCAAATCTCTTAGTGTTTTTAAAACATCACTTAAAACTTATTTGTTAAGGGTAGCTTTTACATAATTGTTTATAATTGTCTTATTATTACTATTATTAATCCTATATTTCATAATGTTTTAATTTTTTTGTGTTTTATTACGTTTTTCTGTCAGTAATGCATTGTTTGTTTAATTGTATGTTTTATGTTTTTATTCATGTGAAGGGCTTTGAGATACTTTTTAAAGGCGCTATATAAAATAAAGTTTATTATTATTATTATTATATTTAACATTTTACGGATTCACCCCATATTATTTCCATTATAACGTAAGTACCTTACTGTAACTTAGATTTTTTTTTAAAGAAAAAAGGAAATACTCAGTTGAAGCATCTTTTGTTCACTTAACAACTAGCAAGAATCAACATGACTTTTTCTTTTGTGATATACCCAGTTATGGTTCAACAAAAGTAATTAAGTCTCCAAACATTCTGGGACAAACAAATAATTACAGATGTGGGTTGATCCTTATTACATAGATTAAACAGAAAAGCATTCATTAGGCATACATGCTTTGATATGTGAAACAGGGTTCCGCATGCATACTGGTACCAGACCCTTTAAAAGAATACAGCTCACCCTCACTGCACTCCTGAGGGGGTGTGGATTTCACGCCGTGTGTGTGGGTGGCTCTCCACAGGCCAGGCTGGGGAAATTATAATAAAAAAACAAAAGAAAAAAAACTGTGAGATGGCAGGAGATGTGTACACATTATATGTGTGTGAGCATAAAGTGCCTGTGTGTGTGTTTGTGAGGGGAGAGATGGTCTGAGTTGCTCCTGTAGCCCTGTGCCATGTATATAAATAGCTCTGCAGGTATGGAGTAAAGGAGAAAAGTAGGTCAGCTTCAGACTGATCACCTTCTCCAGGGGGCCCAAAACAAAATATCTGTCACACACACACACACACACTACAATCTTCTCTTTCTGTATTCACTATGGTCAAAACCACACAAAAGCCTAGGAGCAGCCCAGCCCAGCCTGACTTCAAATCACAACACACATCTATTGAAATTGACACTGGCTCACTCCCCATGTGTAATCAACAGGTGAAGAGATGTAGTTTACCACCTGGTCAGCCCACAGGCTATACGTTAATGGAAAATTCATTTATCTGATCTCTCACAACCACACCCCAAGCATTATCTATTGTAAAAAAACAACAACACATAACTGATCTAAAATTAGGGTAAAAGATTAAGCTCCCAGTCAAGATATGAGCCTGCTGAGTGAAAAGCTCATGCTGTGTTCAGTTGTAAATATTTTCTGCTTATTGAGGGCTGTGGTCAATATAGAGATTGAAGAGCTGATTATAGGTTTCAGATAGGCCTGTCTATATAGATAGATAGATAGACTATATTTGCTTTTGACACAATTGATGCATAAAATAAGTAAAAGGTTAAGTTAAAAAAAAAAAACATTTTATATAGGCTACATTTAAATGTTCAAAACTCTTTTACTCATTTCTTATTTCGTTTACTTATTTCATTTGTGTCAAAACAGAAAAAAAAACAGAGAAAATAAAAACATGTAGGCCTAGAGACGTGTAAAAAATACTTAAAAAAAACTTTCGACAACTACCTTTTTAAATAGCAATTGGATACATTTCACATTTCTTTCTTCTCTTTCATATGTCTAAAAGAACATTGCTTGGCACAGAGAGAAAAACACAGTAGAATCCGCCCTGGAACCGTGCCGGGCGTGGGGGATAATAACCGTGCTCCACATTCACACTCGCTGTGTTGTTCATGAGGAACTGGGTCACGCGCCGTGGCCTACATTTTTAAGGTTTGTTGTCTTCGTTTTTTCCCCTCCCCACATTTATTTGGGCTGGCCCCGCCCTCGCTGGCTGGGCTGAGCAGAGCAGTGCAACGGGGGTTGGGGAAGAGCGACGGTTCGCACGGTTTGAAGCTGAGAGCCCGAGCGCTGCCAAGCAGTTAGATGCGCCCTCGCAACATGTAGACAAACAGAGCATTCACACGCGCGTGACAGCAGAACAGAGCGCGAGCCAACGAGAAATATGCGCGTGCAGAGTGCAGACACAACGAGCTAATACAGAAAGATGCGCCTGTCGGTCCATACATATTACTGACTTCTTATTAAACAACGTATTCCCCCGTAAAATACACCTGTCATGGATAACACAATAGAAAATAAACTCATTCAGGCAGCGGTTGTTACAAAACCTACATAAAGTAATACGAGGTGACGACAACAATTCAGATAATAACAAATAGGTAGCCTATTTGAATGTATAAGATATACTTTACACATTTCGTATTTCCAGAGGTTTTACCTTATGTTACCGTACTCGGTTGAAGTCCGTGAAGTGCATGTCAAGTGAGTTCTCCGTTGACTTAACCGGAATTGTGTTCGTCTTATTTCAAAGAAGACAGACCATCATCATTTAGGCACATTATTTAAAATAAAGCATAAGGAAATTATTGCTCTGTCAAAATAATTCGTTTGGTTTCTTGACGGACCATTTAAACTTTTTCAATTTGAAAACAATGACCAAGACGGCACAATATTATTTATCCTGTGTTAGTATCAGCGCCACTTTACCGGAGACAGTTCCTTAATGTGTAAAATGTGGTTTAGCTCTAGGAGCCGCTATTCGGATTCTGATAGAGGGAGACGAAAGCCAATCATAGTTTGGTCACGCTTCATGACACACCCATGGACTCCGCCTCATTTACGTTTCTGTGTCCAATCAACGAGATGGTTTTTGATAATTGGGCGGAGCCAACATGTCCTAGTTCTAGGCGAATTATAATTCAGCTCAGACTCCGTTTACTCGAGTCACCCGAGCGCGAGTTGACACCCAATCCTCCGCGCGTCTTTATCAATCAGTCATATTAGCCTTGACATATGCACGCAAAACAGAGATGTCTTTTCTGTCTTTTATCGTCGCACGGGTATACAACTTGATTATATGTTTACATTAATCATAATCCATCTTGGTAGAATTAACACTGGGATCTTTTGTTTCTTGTGTGTTGACATCCTCATACCTGTAACTCTTGTTCAATGTGGGGGAAACATCCGTGTTTGTGGGCTACATTATGTTTGCTACTCAGATGTGCTGGAAGACTTTGAACATGTTATCTGAAACTGTCCAAGCAAACATAAAATAGGTGATGACTGAGAAAATCTTATAACCTTTTTGTTGTTGATAAAAAATTTAATTCCAATAGTGGAGCGGAACTTCAGCTAGGCTACTTTTGTAATTCAAAGATTTATATTGCATAATTCTAGGAAGGTAATGGTTAGGCTACTACATGGATTGAGGATTCACATACTGATATGGAGCTAAATAAGCACATGTACTAAGAAAGAATCTGCACATTCACTAAAACCATTTTTTATTTACATAATCACAGACAAGAAGATAAAATGGTGAGATTTGCAATTGAAATTCAGCTACATCCTGCTGTGACTCTATAGCTCCCCTGATTGTGGTTTAGGTATCAGGTGACAGAACGTCATCCTGGACAGCCACAGGCGCCAGAACCCTCCTATCTTAATGAAGATATCCAGACCACACATTTAAAAGTCTGTCATGGCATTCTTTCAAATAATTCCCCTTTTGGGGCACATAGCATATATTTACTGAGTGCATGAGCAGGCAAAATAGTGCTGAGATAATCTTTGGATAAATCTCTGATATGTTTTCTCTTTGGTAATATTTCAGGACTCTGAAGCAGGGTTTGACATCAGGATATTATGCATGGAATGTGCCGAGTATATCAAGATAATGTGCCATGCTATAAACCTGACAATTTGTGTCTGTCTCGGCTCACGAGTTTCCTTTTTTAAAGTACCTCTTACTCTTAACCCAAAGAGGACAATTTAGGTAAGCTACTCAAATGATAGCAAGTAAATGTCTGCCATATAATCTTGGGTTTGAAAGATGTTTTATTGGCCATGAAAACTGCTCTGAATGCATTGCGCTTCCTATAAAGGCCAAACAGTGCCACATGAAATAAAACAGAATGAAAGCATTTTCAAAAAGAAAATTTGAAGAATGTGAAGTTTTTTTTGAACTAGCACCTAATTATTAAAGCCTGATATTCCTAGCAAATAAATTCAACACAGTATTTTAAATCCTTTCAACACATGGATATTATTGCTGTTATTTCCACTGAATTATAACTAAATTGTCAGGTGCCATTATAAACAAGCACCATCAATTTTTAGTTTTAGCTTGTTTCACTTCTGTCTTATAAACAATGAAATAAAGAAAATAAATCTCTTTGTAGAAGTGGATTAACTGGAGGGATCACAGATGAATGAGGCATGTGCTGCTGTTCTCATTTTCATGTCTGGATGAGCTGTGATCTCAGAAGTGTCTTTCATTTAGTATTGGATGAACAGCAGTATAAACTATAGTTTTTGAAAAAAGTTCTCTGTGACCATCCATAGCAGCTGGTACATGCCATCTTCTTGAGCTGATGCTTTCGATGGACTGGCGTTCAGGTCAAGTGTTTGTGCCTTTTGTCAGATGTCCTAGTGAGGTTTTTCACTCTTTTTTGGAATGAATCGGGTAGAAAACGAGTAGTCGAGGGGTTTTTGAACACCTCATTCCCCTCCTTTCATCCCCTTGCCCCACTTTCTCCTATATTCGATAGGCTGGTGCAGAAACATGAGCATCACAGCCTATTGGAAGACAGAAACAGAACAGCATGAGTTCAAAAGTTTGAACAACCTTAAATTGCAGAGCTTAAAGGGACAGACAAAAAAAAAAAGTAAATTCTCTCATCATTTACTCACTCTCATGTTTCCAAACCTGTGTGTTTTCTTTCTTCTGCGGAACACAACAGAAATGAAATGGTGTCCAAAGCAACATTGGATTTTTCAAAATATCTTTTTTATGTTCCGTAGAAGAAAGAAAATCATATACACTCAAAAAAATAACTCTTTGAATGAACATAAAAAAATCATGGAAAGGATTTCCACATGATTAACTTGCTTTATTTCAGCATTATGCAATTCTTTTATTCCAATTTAACGTACTTACCTTGGGTCAACTTAATGTATTAAGGTTGATTCAACTTATTTACTATGGTTGGGAACAGCTTAATTTAATATTGTCAGCGAATTTAAAAAGTATTGCTGAATCAGTTTTCAGCCTAACCAAATGCTCCACTCTTCTCCACAATGGTAACCCACTGTAATTTAAATGGTACTAATAATTGCAATGTAATTGAACATTAAACAATTATGCACTATCAAGTCTTCCCTTTTCTCATTTTCTCAAAAAACCCCATCAAATAACACTTCATTTTAACATTTATTCTCTCTTAATTCAACCATATGCAAAGCATGCTGGGAACTAACAAGCACCGCCTAGTTTCAATTAATGCAACACAAATCAATCATGTAATCCAACACAAGCGGATTAAGTAAACTTAAATGTTACATATTTAAGCAGATTGAACACAATCAAATTAAGTTCGGGCAAAATGGCAGTTGGCTCGCACTATTGCCACTCTCTGGATGTAAGAATTTTGTACTTAACAAAAATGGTTTGTGTTTAGGCAACGCGTTAGGATTTTGTACTGTTAAGTTGAGACATAATTACGTGGACCTTAATAGAAAAAACATTTTAAGTCAAAAAACACAATTATTATAAGTAAACTAAATATAAATATATTATGTAAAGTGCATAACCTTCCTCGTTCATTTTTTTGAGTGTAGGTTTGGAATGACAGGGTGAATAAAAGAACTAAGACATGTACTGTAGGTATAGTTGTTACAGCAACTACAACTGTAAACTCTTTTATCCATTCATTAGGCAGAAAACTGAAATCTTCCAAACAAAGAAATAAATATAATGTGACTGAACTCACTGAAATGTCTCTGTTCTATACCTCAGTTCCCCATATTCTTTTGTCGATCCAGGAATTTCTGCCGCCTGTCAGGCGGAATCTCATCCAAGCTGATACCATGGTTGCTCGCCCTTTGTGGCAACATAAATAAAGATATCAGCATATCAACACAACACGTTTAGTTGACTCTAGATGTACATAAAGACCGAAGTGGTTAATCTTTCTTACCCAGGAGTAAGGTCTGGCGGTATAGGTAGTGGCTTGTTAAATCCATCCCTCCCAACCAACCAAAATGTTTCCTCTACACCTTTACCCTGTAAGAGAATGACAGGAGCTCATATGACAGGCTTCAAGACTTTTATGAGGCATTTACTACAATACTGTATAATAGAGTGTGTTCCCTTGGTTATAGTGTGTGTTGGTTGGGAATTGTTAAAAGAATAAACTATCTTGAAACACATTTTCACCCTCACACTAGTTTACTGAATTTGTTTACTAACAATGTCCAATGGTGGACATACATGCAACAGTGAAGAATTATGTTATTTTTTTCTGAAAGTCATGAACCTTTATAGTTTCTTTTCCATCACATTTCAAATGATGTGTT